AAAGGTGATATTCGTAATCAGCGTTGTCTGGCGATTCAGAATATGTATAATATATTCAAAAATAAATTTCACTTTAAGTTTGCATTACGTGCATCTTACCTTCTATCCAGAGTTAGTTAAAAGGAAGCTCGTGTTCTGTTTTCAAACGGATAGTACGTTTGTTCTGATCAAAAATAAGCTTTTTGCTAGAGCGAAATATGCAGCTTGCCAGTTTAGTATCCATTTGTGTTTTTTTATTCAGTTCCACATCTCATTTCATGCCTTTCATCCAGTAGACACCTTGGCTCAATTTAATTTTTAAACTTCTTCTAGGAGAGACCTCTCTCATGTCTCACACGAACTGAGCTGAAAGCTGCAACACAGATGTATTTAAACTAGTTCGTTTCACTGTAACGCTTGTGATCCAGATCACTCTGAGAAGCAAGAGGATTTGTTCAATCCCTAAAATTCCTTGTAATTCCGTTAATAGACACTCAGATGAGCTCACGTTTTTAACTGATACCTTTTTAGCTTTGCATACTTACTGGTCAGCGGCAATCGAGATTAAACTTACTTCGTAGCATTTCTGAAACAACGCCTTTCTCAAAACAGCAATGTCTATTTTTTAGATACCATAAAAGAGATCCGTCACTTGTCACGGTGTACTCGTTTGGATAATGTAAGCTGGCAAACCATACTATTAAAACAGATCTAATATATAATCAGCACAAAAATGACAAATATACGTTGTGCGATCTGTAAAGAATATAAATCCTCTCATAATGTCAAGCTCGCTGATGTTGATGTGGTAATTTATCTTAAAAATGAAATGTATGAAGATTTAAGTTTAGGTGAGTGAGTTACTGTGCGCGAGGGTGATAAGTAGAAAAGCAAAATGTTTTCTTTATTGCTCTGCAATAGAAGTTCATTTTAATTATCACTTGGGGTTTGTGCAGTTTGGACTGTTATGATTTCCTCTAGGCATACCATTGGTTATGCTTCTGCACTAAACGTACTGTTATCTCTTTCATATCAGTTAGCGTTAAAAGCCACTGTTCATTAGCAAGTCATCAAGACTCTGAAGAAAAACTGAGTCAGCTTTATGCTAAGAACTTTCCGGCAAAGCGCTCTTCTTTCTCATGAGACTAATAGTGAGTGAAACTAAGCTTCAGTTTACTGATCTGTAGAGCAGACGGAGTGCAATACTTCTGTCTCTTCACATTTTTCTAAGCTTTTGATGTCTCTAAAATTAATTTTAGGCAGACACGTATGTTCTCTATGCAGAGAGCGAATAAGAGACCATGTGCGAAAGAATTCATCTAATAAAACTATTACAGAAACTTGTGCATTTTGGAATATAACAGATATCAGTTCGAATATCAACATATTCCAAAATTTCATGCGTTACTCATACACAACTCGGGACAATATTAATACTAAAAGCTTAGCAAAAGATGGATCAGATACGAAACAAATAAAACTTAACTACATCTTCTATTCATGGAGTGGAACGAAGGGCATATATGCGGATGTTTACTCTAGCACACGTATTCCTCACCTTAAAAATATATTGCTCCGAGAGATGGGTTATACCACCCAACCGGATAACATTATCTGCTGTGGATATATTGTGAAGAACCATACTGAATGGACCTCGTTAGATTCTGAATTCGAAATATACAGATCGCCAATAGACATACTCTGGTTCGAATGCAAGCCCAACTTAGAAAATGATGTGCAAATCTGGCGATCTATCAGCTCGGTGTATGACTCCATCTGTGATTTATCAAACCAGGTCAATCGACAGTTTCGCATCTGTTGCAAAGATTCAATGAGAGATAAAGTCATTCTTGTCAAGGCTTCTCTAACGCTCTTAAAACTAAAAGTAACTATCATTGAAAGGTTTGAATATCCGTGCGAACCGAAAGACATTGAATTGTTTATTGGTTCGAAGAGAATTGAGGAAGCTACTCCAAACCAAGAACTGTTCGAAATGGGTATCGGGGACGTTTGTGAGCTAGAAATTAAGATGAAAGAACAATCACAACAGCATTTAACAGAAAACGGCGTGAATAATTTACTTGCTATCGAACCAAAAAGATTGCCCTCGTGTGACACCTCAGAATGCTCATACGATATGACAGAAACATTCATCATGTACTTTAAATATTCATCCCAACAATTATGGATTTCTGCTAAAACCACACAGACTCTCGGTGAACTGAAAGAAGCCATTGGCAAGCAACTGCAAGTGGACCCAAAACAGATATTATTCAAAGAGCAACATTTAAATACGAAGCTGAATGAAACGCTGGCTAACTTGAAATTAGTTCATAAATCCGTTCTCCTTCTCCAAAAGACGGATAGTTTCGAAGAAAACACTATTGAAAGCAGAGTGATACCTCTCCTACTACATAAAGTTGGAAGCTCAAATACTGCCAGCACAATCCGAATTTCCATACCATCGTCCTGTTTAACAGATGGTAGTTCTTTTTCCTTTACAGCTGAAACAACCGTTTCTGAGATGAAGTATGATATTCTTAAAAAACTAAATCTTTTGGATAAAAGTGACACGATACGGTGGCGTCGTCAGGCCCATGTGCTCACCGATGCAGAATCGAGTTTGATGCTAGAACAACTCAAATTCAAATTTGATGAGACTATTTTACTGGAAAAGATGAAAATATCAACCGAAAAAGAAAACACCGAACACGAACAAATAGAACACTTTCATCCATGTGCAAAAAATAACGTTACTGATGTAACTGACTTCGATGACAACAAAACACACGGGCGGCGAGGTATGGATAATTTCGGAAACAGTTGTTATATAAATAGTGCCCTACAATGTTTAAGTAATGTGCCAGAACTAACAAAGTTTTTTATCGAACAACTATCACAAAACTCAGATATGAATCCATTTCAAGAATATGGCAATGTGACAAGTTCATACGCTGAATTTATTCATGATATGTGGATTAATGAGAAAAATGGACGAGCCGTCACGCCTAGTCGAATAAATCAAACTGTGAGTCAGTATGCACAAAGATTTTCCAGTAGTTCACAACAAGATATGCATGAATTTACTAACTTTCTCTTAGAAGCATTACACGAAGAATTCAACCGAGGAATTTATAGGTCAAATCGTAAACAAAGTACCATAATAGCCGACCTCTTCCACGGTTGCATCGAATCGATCGTCACATGTGCGACATACAAACATGTCGAAACAACCCCGAATATCATCAGTTTTTTACCTCTACCACTCGAGAAGCGTGAGCGGTATTTCTATGTTCATTTTATGCCAGAAGTCGGAAGAAAAGAACCGCCAAAATGTTTACAAGTACATTCAAGTGGAACAATCTCAGATTTGATGTTACGATTTATAGCTCACCGATGGCCAGAATCTCGGTCAACTGAATCGATTCTAATCAAATATAACTATATCGGAGTCTGTTCAGTAGATGATGAAAATGAGAAATATGAGCCGGATCAACCACTGAGTAAAATCACAAATCATCAAATTGTATTTTACGATACGAATAAATATCTAAATCATTCGAGATCAAAACTCGACGTACGACAAACGAGGAATAACTTCGATGTCTACGATTGTCTAAAAGAATTCTTATCTACGGAAATTATTGATGGTGATTGGTATTGTCAAAAATGTCAAAAGAAATCAGAAGGAACTAAAAAGATAGATCTCGTCTCATTGCCGCCTGTACTCATTATTCAATTAAAGCGTTTTATTTATAATGATGATAATAGACGTTGTAAGAATACATCATTCATCAAATATCCAATAGAAAATTTTGATTTAAAAGATTATGTTCAAAACAGTCAACAGTCGACAAAATACAATTTAATTGCCGTTTCAAATCATTTAGGATCAATACGTGGTGGACACTATACAACTTATGCAAAAAATTTTAAAAATCATCAATGGTATCATTTTGATGACACAAGAGTTTCTCATGTGACCGGTGATATTGAACAACAAATTGTTAATCAAAATGCTTATGTACTGGTTTATTCGCAAGAAAACAATCGCGCATCGCAATAGGATAACAGTTTTTTTATACCTTTTGACGAAGTTCGACTTGACTTGGACCTCGATTTTTTTTATAAAGTCTGTTTAACTCCAAGGAGTTAAAGTCTTTTACACTGAACAATGGCATGACTCTAATGTAATATATAATTATTTAATCTTTTTTTGTGAAACATGCATGAATGTATGGATAAAATTTATTTACTCGTCATATATGAGTCTGACGTAGGCCAAGGAAATAAAGAGTATAATCTCTATATCTCAAAGAAAACTGTCTCGTTAGATGTAAGAACTTGTAGACACAGATAACACGATATACTCTACAATGTGCCAAGGAGGATATTTTTTTTGACGTATCTCACCCAGACCCCTAGCATTACGAAAGCCCGGTATACAGTAAGGCTTTCGTAACACGTTAAAAAGACATAAATTAAAAACCACAAGGCTTTCGTAAAGATAATGCAAAGAGATTAATGTCTAAGTAGATGCTATGATAGGGCTTCCGTAACACTCTTTAACGGGGCTTTCGCAACGAAGTCTGTGTGTACTTTTTACGGTAAAATAGCTGAAAATTAATGTCCTCTAACAGGACTTTTGTAACGAAGTGTATGTTTACTTTTCAAGTTGAAATGATATGTGATTGTACTCCTTCATTCTCACTGTTTCTATCGGTTTTCTCTTTCATTTACAATAAGAAGTAGCATTCGTTACGAAAGCACTGTAATAATACAACATTATCATTTATATCTGGGATAAAAAGTACATATAGACTCCGTTATGAAAGCCGTGTAAAAGAGTCTTACGAAAGCCCTGTAAGAGCATCTACTAGAGATTAATCCCATGCATTATTGTTACGAAAGCCCTGTTAGTGCTCCTAGTGACTGACTATTTCATAGAGAGGATAGGATCCGATTAACCGTCTTACGAAGGCCCCGTAAAAACAGATACGAAAGCCCTGTAAAACGATGGTTTTCGGAACGAAAGTCCTGTTATTTTTTTAGTACGAAAGCCTTGTAAAAAAAAGAGAGGTCTGGATGAAACGTCACCTCGAAGTGCAGCTGGATGTGATAAAGATAAAAGAATTATTTCTTATAATGTTGCTTGTTTCTATCTTCCGGCAAGAGGAGAACAAGTAAGAAAACGAGAGAAGAAGAGTACTACAGCCTATTGCACACGATAATTCAAAAATTGTTTCAAACTAGTCCTCTGCACAAAAAAGTCTAGGAAGAAGGAAAAACATAAAGCATTAATTTAATTAATTTATTACAAAATAAATCCGTGCGCCTTGATTGAGTGGAAATGTTCGAAAATACCGAAAACTTTGTATATAACTAGGTCCAGAAGTGTTAAAATACGTAAAGGAGCCATTGATCGATATATATTAGTATATTCTAGAATCATAGTACGATTATCTGCAGCTCAGTTGATTGTGTTTGATTCTCTATTCTAGGTACCGTTGTTCGAACCACCAGCAAGTAAGTAGATTTAAGTTTCTTTTCTCTACCACTATTCTCTAATTGTTTGTGATAGCTACTGTGTATTCGACTTGATGCGTACAATGGATAATAGAAAAAGCCAACATATATACTATTTTCTCAAATTTAAATTTCAAACACTGATGCGATAGGCGTTTGGGCGCCTCCGTGGAAACGCGTCAAAACCACAAGCTATGGTAGCAGAAACGGATATTAGATTCATGATCAGTATCTGCAATTACCCATAATGGTCTATGAACTCATTCCAGAGGGGAGCGACACTTGGATATGTTGTTCTCTTGTGAAATAAAATCGTTATGACGAAGAATGAAGGATGAAAAATTAGGCAAATTAGCTTCTGAGATATCGACGATAAGAATTCCGGCCTGATCACATGAAGTTTTCACGAGTCATAACGCCGTCGAGTGTAAAATCAAGTTTTATACAAACTCGAGAACGCAGATATGTAGAAAGTAAAGCGACGCAAAACGATATGCATAAAAGTGCTTTCAAATTATCCTGAAAATATCGAGTCCTTGTCTGGTTTTTGCTACCAATTCTTGGAGACATCTCTATGGAGAAGTGAAAAGGAAGAAGGAATACCTTTTGTATTTGTCGTTTAATTCATTTTTAAAAAGCCGGTAGAAATCAATTTGTAGATTTTTTTGTGCATATTAACTGAAAACTTCATGTGCAGAAAAAAGATTTATTTTCTCAAGGTACAATGACGTCACATCGATAAACAACATTCAAATGACTCACTGTCATTATAATAAAGAAAAGATTTCTCCACACAGATAAGCAGAACGAGAGAAAACTAAATTCATCGATAAAAATGTTCTCTTTTGTCTTTTTACTATGTATTTAAGTTCTCCCTCAGTGACAATTTTCTATTTTGATTAGTAATAACAAAATATAAAAAAAGCTTACTTAATGAGTTACGCTGAAAGTTCGTAGAAAGCACTGTGGATCTACGTTATTCATGTTATCATAAGAGACAACGTAAAAGTAACATATTACTGTCTCTTGCACGAAGAAACAGCAAGGTGTTCTTGAGTAAAGGTAAATCTGACACCACTGGATTGTTTCCTATATTACCGGTTGTAGCGAGAAGTCAAAAGGATATTCATCTCTTCAGTGGCGGCGGACCCATTAGGCTAGGGGAGGCCTAAGCCTCCCCTAGAAAAGGAAGAGGACGGCTTGGGGCGGCTCAAATATTTTAGAAAATATCATAGATCTCATCTTTAGTTTACATATAGTGAGCAAAAAATTGTGAGCCTCCCCTAGACTGAAATCGTTCCGCCGCCACTGCATCTCTTAATGCACAAGTCTTCGATAGAATTATTCAAAATAATTATAGTGTTTGAAAAGAGTAAAGATAATAGTACATGGTGGAAATTGAAGAAAAGAATGCAATTTTGCACCTATAGAGCAGCACTATTTTAGTTAATAAAACAAAAAGTGATAAATACCACATGTAAATGAATAAATTCTAACGGGCTTTTTCTTCGTCATACTTTATCTTCATAGAGTAACCTGCATGTATTTTCAGAATAGAAGTTTCGCTTCGCTTTCTGAAAGTTAAATGAATTAATGCTGAACGTTTTAGTCTAGTTAACATAGTTAATGGGGGAAAAAGTGATCCATTTGACCCACCGTTTTCTCGCTTTGTGCGTGAAAAAATTTAAGTCATCAATAGTTATAGCACGATCTTTCTTCTTGGAAGAGAAGACAAAGATCTTTTAACCTAAACTGAAACATTTGATGTGTTTGAATAAAAATGATAAGCTGGAAATATAAAGTAATATTGTTCCCTTGTAGGTGTTTTGCCACATCAAGACAAACAAAAAGAAAAGTTTTCCCAACAAAAACTCAAAGATGTGAACAAACTGGAGCATCTGGCATTTACAAATATAAAATCAAAATAACGAATATATATGGCACACCCAATGCAATTTAATGTATGTCACCATCAGGACACGTCATATTGTGTAACAGTCTCAATCGAACCCAAAAAAACATTGAAAAAGTTGAAAGAGAAAGTCGTTAAAGCACTTAGTCCAAGTGCTCGAGCAGACGATATCGATTTATATTACAATACCGACAAATGGCGTAAACTCCACTCGGGAAGACTAAATGAAACGTTGATTGAAATGAAGGTCATAAACGAAATAATCAAAAACAAAAATGTGCTATTCGTTCATCCCAAAGAAGGTGGTTTTATTCAGAAACCGAACTCTACTACGTATTCAAAAACATCAATGTCTAAAACTAAGGCGAAGCCGCAGACTATTATAGTAGTAAATCGTCTATTATCAGGGCAGCCACTCTATTTAAGTAACCTTAATGTCACACCAAATGAACTGAAACGAGAAGCCATAACTTGCTTAAAAATCAGCTTACCGTTGGAATACGTGAAAATAACTGCAGGTTCCTTACAAATCAAAAATGAATATGGAGAAACATCTTTGGTTAACCTTGGTATAGACGGTAACGATCTCATAACTATCGAAAGAATTATAATTCCCAATCAGAAACAAAAAGAAAACGTTCTCCAATCCATTATTAGGGATTCAAAACATGTACAAGAGGACAATCCATCAAAACAGGAAAACGATTCAAAGTTTCCAATAACGTTAGTATATATCGAGCAATCTGCCACGAAACCGAAATCATTTAGTCACGAAGTGTTGCGTACACAGAACGTAGAACAGTTGACAAAACAACTTATACAACTATTAAAGCTCTCGTTAAAACCGGATCAGGTACGTTTAACAGATCAAGAACCCAATCCTTACCAGTTGGTTTTTGATAAAATTAAGCCGAAACAAACATTAGCCGAATTAGGAATACAGCCAGGTTCGATAATCACATTTGAGTACACAGATCAAACATCGGTTCCTAAACACGGCCAAAACTGCGTGAGGGAACGTCAGAAATCGATACCCGATGAAGTTTCTTCCAAAACGAAAACACAAGTCGAAAAAACAGTGGATGTGTACTTAATCGAGGGCCGTAAGAAAACGGAAGTTCAGTGTACAGTAACCGTTGAACAAAATATTGAACAGCTGAAACAGAATGTGATCGAAAAACTCAAACTGCCTCTTCGAACAGAAGATATTATTTTAATCAAATACAGAACAAATAAGAAAGATTACGAGTTTTTAGAGAGCAGTCCAAAACAAAAACTTTCTGAATTGGAAATAGAGGAAAATTCAGTTATTGTTTTTGAATGCAAAAAGCAACACGAAGCTAAGCTAAAAGCAACCGACTGTGACCCTTGCACAGCTCAGCCTGACCACCAAACTAAGCACCTAATTCAGAAAACAAATCAAGGAAGACGGGGTCTCCGTAACATTGGAGATAGTTGCTTTATGAACAGTGCTCTACAGTGTTTGAGTAACGTACCACAGTTAACAAATTATTTCATAGCGAAAATAGAAGCATCGCCACAAACAAATCCGTTTAGAAAATACGGTGAAGCGGGTGAATCGTACGCCACTTTCATTAACTACATGTGGTGCAATGAAGAGCATAGTTCGTCATATACTCCCACTCAAATAAAACATAGCGTTAGCCAATACGCGCCGAGATTTTCCAGTAGCTCGCAACAAGACACACATGAATTTATGATATTTTTCCTTGGTGCACTGGATGATGATATGCAGAAGCAAAAACCAAAACATGCTAGTCTTATAGCCGACCTCTTCCACGGTTGCATCGAATCGATCGTCACATGTGCGACATACAAACATGTCGAAACAACCCCGAATATCATCAGTTTTTTACCTCTACCACTCGAGAAGCGTGAGCGGTATTTCT